TTCCAAAATAAGCGCGGTTGACTACTATTTCGTACCCCTTGACCACTGACCAGTCACACAGCCAATTGCACTGGCTTGTCAGAAGTAAATAGCTTGGTAGTAGGTATGCATTATGATGTCTCTAATCATAGGTACTTAAAGATGAAGCAACTTTATGAAGCCAATTACTACTACTAATCATTACTACTAATCATTACTTAAGTGAACAGTCTAAAAAATCATTCCCTAAATAAGCCCACTAATCCTCAAAATAATCCAGGCATTAGCACTGTTCTCACGCATTGTCTGCAGTGACTGAGTCGACAGCTTTGCTTCAAACTGTGTCCGTGAGTCGACACTCGACAGCTCTGTCCCGAGCCCAGTCTGTCCCAGACCTGTGCGGAGCATTAGAGACACAAATCGCAGCAGGCTGGAGCACCAGCCACTCTGTCGAAATCGATACTGAACGAGCACCTCCGGGTAAAGATTCGACGTCGCGACAGCTTCAATCTTCGGCGGCGGTTGACGGCGGAGTCGAAAGAGCCAAGCTACTGCGCTAGTTCAGCATATGGGGAGCGGAATATGAATTCGCTAGCTGAGGACCCAAAGGCTCCATATATGGCCTGGGCTGAGGGTCGTATTAAGTGCATGTTTGTGTAAATGTACTTGAGACAGTTTGGCAGTTGGGGCTGGTAATTAGAACGAACTATCATCCTTCTGATTGTGTGAGGCATGTTACGTACCTAATCTTTTTGTGCTTGCAGAGTCATTTTACTTCTCCTTTTTACACCCTTCTATGTGTTTGCTTCTTTCTAAGCTACCGCATTTGCGGAGACCACCCTACGTTGATCCTAATTGTCAGCATAGAGACGACCGTCCACTGGACATCGACACTGGTAACTTTTTGCGGATAAAGAGTTTGCGTGAAATTAAAAAACGATGAGCACCTTATTTGGCAAAAACGTTACATTCAAAAATGGTCTCCAACGTAATTCTGTTGCACATTCATCCTGCATCGCAAAGCCCGTTCGCATCCAAAGACATACCCCACCTTTCCAAGCATTTCCACATTTCACTTCTTTCTCCACCGTCCTGTTTCCCCTAAATCCTCCTCCTCCCCTCCTCCCCGACATCGTTCCACGTGACCTGTCGACCGTCGCTGTCCCGAGACGGTGACCAACGCAGACAGGGCGCCATCATTCGCCGCTCCTCGCCCCGCTCCTCGCATCAAAACACCGAGTGTAGCGGCGATCAATGCGCCGCAGCAGAGCCGCTGCAGCCCACCCGAGCTGCAGCTCGCAGCTCTCTAAACTCCCAGCCGGCAGCTCGCAGAGACTGTGCGTTAGTTGGGAAGAAGCCTCAAGCGATGCCCGAGGCGATGCTAGAAGCGCACGGGGCGTCGCAAGAGGTGCCATAAGATGCGACGCACGAGAAATCGACGCTGAGGTTGGTAAATAACAGAGTTGCGTGGCGGTGGACAGCCCTGGTGGACAGCCACGGCTCTAAAGCGGTCATCAGATGTCGAACGAATCACCTAAAGGCCGCTTCACATCGACCGCGCTGTGATGGTTGAGCGTGATCAAAGAGGGCAGACTGTCGCGTGCTGGCGTGTGTGCGTGTTGAGAGCTCGAGCTTCCGCGCCGACGACTGTGCGTGCGGCTGGTAGCTAAAGCTCGGGGGGGGGGGGGGCAGTCAAAGTGTTCAGAGGGCAGAGCAGTTCAGGGTCAGCTTTGAAGGCTGATCGGTTGTGGAAGGGAAGGGGAGGGGTGTTTTGGATCTGGGCGTGAGAGGGCTGAACGGTCCAGGGCCAGTGTCAGACTAAAGGACGGTTGTCCATTGGATAAGGTCCAATTTTGAGCCTTTGAAACAAAACAGTGTTACGACAAAAGTATAATCGTTGCCAGTTTGCTAATTCGACCAAATATATGACATTCTTTTCTTATTTTGGCTATGATTCAGCATTATTTTACCACTGGACTCATTCAAAGCCATACCGTCAGCATGGTCCGCATTTCCATGACATCTATCCATTAAATTCCTTCATGTTCAATTCGCTGCGATCCAAGCAGAATTTCGTGCCGGTTTTTGCTAGTGCAAAACCCCGCGTCGTGATCCATTAGCTCTCATCTCCCGTCGCCTAGGATAGCTCTGCCGTGATTGAATAGCCGACACATGGCTTCAGTCATGGCTTCGTCATTAATTTTGTCGAGATGAAATCGCACGCTCTGCGAACTGAAGGTCGTAGGGCGCGAGCTATCAGAGATTCGTTTAAGGAAAAGCTTAGCCCGATTTCGACGAGTTTTGACGTCATTCACAGGGAATGACGTCACCATGCATCACATTTTTCACCCTGACCAGACCAGGACGTGACCAGTGCCTGAGACATTCGTAAGTTGTGCAAAAAAAACTGTCAGCATTATGCACTCAATGCAGTTGCTCATATGCCTGAAATATGTGCACAATTTTGTTTGCTTCAAGGCCTCAATGGCAGTCGGGCTACTATGTTCGATTAACCCGCGCGGGGCTGGGGGGGTAAATTTTACCCCCCCCCCCTCGCGAATTTTTGCAATATCTCAAAAACGGCGGCGCGCAGCGCCGCCAAACTTTCAGTACCTTTTTTACATCAATTTGACACGTTCTCTGAAAATTTGAGCGAAATCCGTCGGAAAATTTTTGAGAAATTGACGTTTTAGTGACGTCATGTTTGTCATTTTCGCCTCAAAAACGGCAAAAGTTCAAACGCCGCTAACATCTTCATTTTTAAAGGAATCAAGACGTAACAAAAAAGGATATGCGTAATTCTACTTTGTCTATCAAATGGCTATCTCGGTTTTTTGACAATTTTGGATTTTGGCCCAATTTTTTTCAAAAAACTGACTTTTTTGGGAAAATAGCTATAAAATCCAAAATTTTGAGTGTATCGAAAAAACCGGAATATATGTCAGAGAAGTGGTCTATGTGTACCTACATACCAAGTTTTAGAAGAATCGGTTAAAAAATGTGGGAGTTATTCAAAATTGTATGACGTCACAACACACAAACATTTTGAAAAATGACTTTTTTGGAAGTTCTAGACCTCGTACGGAAACAAAAATAGCACCATTCGATTCGCCGTGAAAAACTGCATCAGATAGACACCTTTTTAGGCCTTAACAACCAACTTCAAAATTTGACCTCACTTGACCTGACCTTGACCTGACCTCGACCTGAAATTCATCCAGAGGTGGTCCATATCACTTATTGAGTGTGCCTATTGAATGCTATGAGTAAAATGACCCATAAAACATGTGTCGCACATGCCCTTTTCTATATTTTGTTTTTGGTGGCCTGACCTGCCTGAGCTGACCTTGACCTTGACCTCTGAATGATATTGTATGCAACGAATATTGTCTTTGTAGCCTAAGAACACGTTTTGGGCGATCAGTCTCAGTCAATGACTCCATTCTTCGGCAACTACGGTGCAAGGCCGATACTGTAGGAACTTGCAATTTGTACCCTTGACCTGACCTTGACCTTGACCTCAAACTTAAAATTAAGTACATGTTTTTAGTTGTTCGTGATGAGATCTTTCGATTGGCGTTTGAATTTTCCAGATCGGACCATTAGTTCGGGAGATAACAGGGGGGGGGGGGGTAAAATTTACCCCCCCCCCCCAGCCCCGCGCGTTCGGCTGGAGACCCCAGCCCCGCGCGGGTTAATTCGCAAATGCCACACGGAACGTTGCTCATAAAGAACAATAAAAGCCACTTCAAACATTTCAAAATGACACCGGATTTAGTCGAGTGCCGCGGTCTTGTTTCAAACACTAACCAGACATTGATACAGGCCAGGGTTGACAAGGTATTCCCCGCCAGTACAGCCACGCTTGCTTTGGAAATGCCCACAGACACCACTTCAACAGCAATTTTAGAAAGTTATCCTCCCAACAATGCATTGCCATTGAGTGTGATGTGTTTGCGAATGGACCATAGTGAAGGTTATGGCTATAGATACAAACCAAGTCAGAATCAAACACACAAGCCGAGCCGAAACTTTCAACACGGACATAAGTTACCGATATTGAGCGCTTGGCGCGAAGGCAACCACTTCCCACAACAGCCATGGTCATGCCCTTTGTGAACGACATGATAAGGGCCATCTTTTCACCCAAACAACATGGCAGACTACATGAACTCGAAGGGAGGCGTGATATATGCGACACAAGCCGCATGCCTCGATGTCATGATCTTATAGGAATAGCCCATTTAGGCAGCGATGTGGTGAATCCATAGCTTAGGACGAGAGTTGAATTTGGTCTGCAGGAAGCACTGAATGTCACAAATCGCAGTGATTATGATAAAGACAGAAAGTCGTCGTGCTAGGCGGTCACATCGGTTGGCTCAATTGTGCAGTAAAAATCGATTGTACTTTGTGAACCTTTGAACGTATGCTATTTGAGAACTTAGCAGGCATCATTATAAGTTAGGCTCTAGCCTCTAAGCATTGTTTAGCTAATGCTTATTTCTACGCATGGTCTATGAAAGGAGGCGTATCGTGGATGACGCATATCGCAGTAATACCGAGTATAAAGATCATTTTTTTCTCGAAATTTTTTTAAGAGTTCTTATGTGGATCCCTGACCAGACACTACAGTGAATTGTGATTTATTGGACGAAACGAAAAGGATAGTGGTCAATGGTCAATAGTCATGCGCAAAGCTTCCCTCTTTGTGTTTAATATGAACATTTGCTTCACTTTTTAGTTCATTAGGTATAATGACATATGGAGTTGAAAAAACGATACGATTTATATGACATTTACATAACCAGGTAGACAAATACGTAAAACATGGTTGGTATAGGCTCACCAGAAGTTTCTGCTTCAAATCGTGCAAGAAATTGGAGCTCCTTAATAAAACTTAAGCATTTAAACTTAAAAAATATAGATCATTGGTCATTCTCAACATGATTCAGTATGATTGATCATTTTTTAGCCAGCTCAGTTCCAACTAAATCTACTAAGAAGGGAAGAGGGGAGTGTCTCTACTCACGGACGAAGATGTTGGAGACGAGAGTGGCCGGTAGGCAGAAGACCACCACCAAGATGTCGGCCACCGCCAGGTTAGCGATGAAGTAGTTGGTCGCACTGCGCATGCGCGGGCAGCGACAGACGACCGCCACGACGCACGAGTTGCCTAGCAACCCGACGACAAACACGATCAGGTAAGCAACGCATAGGACGGCGCTGACGGTCAGATCGTGTCGCAGCAGGTCGCCGGCAGGTGGCGCGCCGGTGCCGTTACCCAGAGATGACGTCATTGTGACATCAGTGATGTTGGCGGCGGCGTCGACCAATGGGTGAGCGGCTTCGTGTAGGGGGCGCCAGGCAGCGATAGCACGGGCACTCTCGCGAGCTTGGATCGCCTGGCTGCGGAGAGTTTCTGCGTGATCAGGTCCGGTGACGTTCCAGAGAGCGGCCATGTTGGGCCAGGCTGTCGTGGCGTCAGCCATCTTGGACAAGGCGGGGGTGGTTTTTCAAGTCCTGTGAAAGAAGAAGACTTTTTGTGAACATGAAACCTTTTTTTCGAGTGTGATCGATACAGTTCGATCTGTTATCTCCAACTCACTTTTGACAATCTTGTCACGATTCAAGACCATCCGGAAGACCATCAAAGCCTCAGTTGCTGCTATCAAGACCGCACGACATCATTGCAATCTTGCACCCCATCCAGCACCATCCCAGAACGGAGTTTTAGAGAAAGAGCTCGAAAACTATCCTCAGAGCATTCGCCGGTCAGTCTGCCGGCAGCATTAAAACAGTCCCAGTTTGTCAACTGGATAAGATTCATGGAACGGCCCAACAGTCGATCCCACATCCAGATTCCCGGATCGTGGACTAATGCGGTGGATGGCGACAGCATGGTGCATCAGAACATCAACCGTGGTTAATGCATTACGTTGCATACAGTGCAGAACAAATTGATTCTGTGTAATTAAGACTAGCTTGTAAATTAAACGTTTTCAACGTACTGATAGCTACACAGAACACTCCACCTGATCAAGACTGTTACAACAGCTCACTGCACCAGATCATGACTGTTACACCAGCACACTGCACCTGATCACGACTGTAACACCAGCACACTGCACCTGATCACGACCCAACTGATGACGTAAGCGGTCGGCCGCACATCTCCAAACGACCATCGAACAGATAGTGGGGCCCATCGGAACAGCTCAATTCCAGGTCTATGGGCCGACGTTGGCTGTGAATGGGCCGAACTTTGACATTTAGCAGGCGCATGTTCTGCTGACGTAGACTTGGACTATGTGGTAACTGGTCTAGTGGTGATATACGATAGTCGTTCGGGAGGACAGGGCTGAATCTGATCAGGTCATTCGTATGTTTGAGAAAAGAACATTTCGTATAGCTATAGTCAGTTAGACACACTTAGGTGTTTCTCGGTATATAAGTTTCTCTGAATTGAATATTGATCATAACTGCGAAAAGACCATCAGGGGACAGAGGTACCCAATGCTAGGTCATTCGAGAGGGACGGCTAATTTCAATGGAATTGAGCAAAACAATAATTTTTCTTTCGATTCAAACACGCTGAAAACGCCTATATCGACTATACGATTTATTCCTGCCTTATTGTTATTTCATTAAAAATAACTAGTCAGCATCTATATTCTCCCATAATTTGATGCCTCCTCCCCCATTTGAAGTGTCCCGTCTTCCAAGTGATTGGCACTCGGTTTTCAAACGCCAGCCCCACTCATCGTGACATTTGGGCGCCTGACTTTGGCTGGCTGCCGCCCTCTAGTGAAAATCAGTTGCCAATGGGTCGGCCGTTTCGGCGAAAATGGCTCTCGTGATCGGTCGAAATTCCGATGTCGGTGATATTCGTGAGAATCTAATGAATAGCAGCTGGGCTCTTTTGTGGGTGTTTAAAAATGAAGGGATCGAGAAGAACAGATATATGACGATGTGGTGTATGAAATGTCAACAATCTAAACATAAACACAGGTGTTTATAAATGTGTATTTTAATACAGCGTATGCCTGATCTTGCAAAAAAAAAAAATACTCACGCAAAAAATATTTTTGATGTGACAAAACGAAGCTTTTGACTAAAGGTGAAAAGCATTTTTATCAAATCATCGCTTTGGGACGACAGAATTCGGCAGTCACTAGCATAAAAGTGCGCCTGCATAAATTATCGGCAGCTAGAGAAAGAATATGTTTACGAGTGCAGGCTGTCTTAACCCGCGACCTGGTGGGGGAGCTATTTTTTGCCCCCCCCCCCTCCAGACTTTTCGATATATCTCCAGAACCGCTGCGCCGATCGTCACCAAACTTTCAGTACCCTCCCGGACATCAATTTTACATATTGTGACCAAAAATTTTTTCCCAAGGCTATGATAGGTTGGCCGGAAACGACGTCAGAGTGACGTCATGTTCTGCCGTTTTCGACCCAAAAAAGGGTTTCGCGGGAAGAGCTGTCAGGCCTATAGCTTTGCAAATACAGAAAAAAAGATGAGGACATAAAAGCTGTAAAATCAACAGGGCTACAAAAATGACATCTCGGATTTTTGAAATTTTTGGATTTGGACCCCCAAAAATCAAAAAAATATTTTTTTTGGATATAATAATCGAAAAATCCAAAAAGTTTTTTGAATTTCGCAAAAACCGGAATATATGTGATAGTCCTTACCGCCTTCCATACACATACCAAATTTGAGATTGATACCTCTTTTTTTTTGGCGAAGTTATAGCGAAAAAACTGTTCAAAATTGATGACGTCAAATTTTCAAACTCAATTTTTTTTTTGCAATTCTAGACCCCGTAGCGCAAAACAAAGACCACCAGTACACTCCCCGTGACGAGCTGCATCGAATCAATACCCATTTTATGCAAAACATCAACTTTAAAATTTGACCTTTTTTTGGCCTGACCTTGACCTGACCTTGACCTGAACTTCACCAGAAAGTGACCTAAGCCGTACCTGATAGTCTTATAACCAACACTATTGAGTTGGAAATGAAAAATTGGCCATAAAACATGCATCACACAACCTTAGTAAAGTTGGGCTCATGTGACCTGACCTGTGACCCTTGGTGACCTGACCTGTGACCTGACCTGGTATTGTCAGTGACCTCTAATAGCAACATATCTACTAGGCAACTGACGCCCTATCGCTGATTATCGACAAAATGCGTTTTCCTCGGTGTTATAGCGCATTCCCTAGCAGACCGGTGAACGGTAAAACATTTCATCTTTGACCTGACCTGTGACGTCATCGGTGACCCCGAGGTCAATGAAATTTGGTTTCCCTTCACAAATTTGACAGGCCTTTCGAACGCCGTTTGAATTTTGCGGATCCGTTTAGTAGTTTCGGAGATACGAGGGGGGGCAAAAAATAGCCCCCCCCACCACCAGGTCGCGTTATAAACAGACCCCACCAGGGCGCGGGTTAAAAGTACCGCGCAAAGTGACGGTGGATCAATCAAGCCTGACCGAGGGGCGAGGAAGGACCTGCTATACTTTGAAAGTCACCGAACCAATGTGGAATGGACGAGGATGTCAATTGCTTCGGTGACTCAAATTTAACAGGCCCTTCCTCGGTCAGGCTTGATGGAAGTCCACCGTTTGCGCGGTACTTTTAATACCGATTGTACATACATGTGAACATATGCCAGCCCTGACATACTTACTTCTAAAATGCATCACTCATGTTTTAACCCGCGCCCTGCTGGGGGGGTGTTTGAACACCCCCCTTGTGGTTTTTCGCGAATATCTCAAAAACGGCGGCGCGGAGCGCCGCCGTTTTTGGTACACCTTATTATACATCAATTATACACATGTTGTGAAAATTTCAGACCAAGGTCATTCAAGGTCAGGTCACCAGGTCACTTGAAGTGACCTCACCTCATAAAAAGTTTCAATGTCTGTCATAGCTACACCGAGTGACCGATCGCTTTGAAACTTTCAGCGATTGCTAAGAGCAATAGCATGTACAAAATGTTGATCTCAGAATTTTGATATCGATGACCTAAGGTCAGGTCAATTTTGTGACCTCCCCATTATAAGTCAATGGGAGAAAATTGAAATGCGCCTCTTTTTGACGAAGGACATTATAAACACTCCCAAACACTGAATTACAAGTGGTTTAGACACACTGAACATGAAAATGGTGTCCGTGACCCCTGTTTATGCCCTGAGGTCATCTTAGGTCACGAATGGTATCTAACAGTTTTTCGCAAATAACTTTTGATAGAGGCATGCTAGAGCGATGAAAACGCCTTAGATGTGTTCAGCTCGACGATACGGATCGACTGATATGCAACATGACCCTTTCCGGTCAGGTCATGACCTTGACCTGAGGTCAAATTTTCAAGTTGACCTTTCAAGGTCATAGTATAGTTCATTCGATGCGTCTTGACGAGAGGAACACGATGCCGGTAAAAGTAAGCTCGTACAAGGCTTGGGTCAAAAGTTATTGCAGAAAAACTGTTTCCGAAAAAATTGGCTATTTTTGCAGTTTTTGCCCCCTGCAGGCAAAACCGTTAAAGTTAGGTCAAATCTGAGAAAATTGCTCAGAAAGGGCGTTAATAGGGCTATCGAATGCGCTTTTCCGCGGCGCTCTAGCTCTATTGGTTCCAGAGTTATGCGTTGGCTTCTTGGAAATTGTCGACATTCGACCTGGAAATCGGCGAAATTTTGCCTTCAATGACCTCTGGTGACCTGACCAAAAAATTGACCGAAGTGATTTCCTCATTATTTTTGACGCTCTTTCGAACGCCGCCTTCCGCGTATCGCTACGTGGCCCAGGAGCCGAGTTAGAAGGGGGGTGTTCAAACACCCCCCCCCAGCAGGGCGTGGAAATCCAGGACCCCCAGCAGGGCGCGGGTTAAAACACAGAGCAAGAATCTTACATTTGTTGAGGCCCAGTTCTGTTGTTTCATCTCCAATATAAGGCCACGACATCTTCTGCCCGCCAGCCGCAAGGCAATTTCATCTGGCTTGGAAAACGTTTTTTTCGCTTGATGTTTGCTCAACTCGTAACCCACGTGATTTGTCATTTCCGAGTCAAAACAAATTTCGTCAAACTTCGCGGCACAGTCCAACCGCGAGACTGAAGTTGGATGATGTGACAGCAGTGCTATACCGAGTTAGCTTGTGGAAGTTTGATTTCAAATATGAAATAAAGGTTTTATGTGCAGTGTTGCAGTGTTGTTGCCGTTAGGCCAGATAGAGCATTCCGAAATCAGAAGCGTACAATTTTTAATATGTCGTATATTAAAACTAGCACTGATATGGTGCCACTATTTGCACACACCCTAGTGTTTTTCCTGGATTAACGTATTCATACCTACCTTTAAAAACGATTCCGTACTTTTTTCCCTATTCCCCGCGTTGGTATGGCTTGAGTATCTGCTAATGGATTCGGTTGATATTTGGTTTAGTATTGGTACGCCAATGATACAAAATAAACATCACTTATTGGAGATGTCAATCGGATACCAACTTTTTGGTATATCGATACCAAATCTACACCGACTTGGTATTTGGTATTGTGATCCTAATGTTTTTGGGTATTTTGTTGATATTATTGAATCCTCGTTAATGTAAAAGAGCTGTGAATTAGGCGAAAAGTTGATATTTTCTTTATATCACCCGTCTGTTCGATTTTGGCATTTCCTGATGGTTTTAGCTGGTATTTGGTTTGGTATCGGTATTTCGATTTTGTGCTACCGACATCACTATCGCTCATGCTAATAATTACTTTGGAAGTGCACTACTACCTACTTTGAGCATTGTCACTTGCGAGTGCACTACTTAATTGCTACTTTGGATTTCCTCTTAAGTCTGACATTATCTGAAATATCGGGCGTCAAGCGCGCCACACCGTTGCATTCATGCGCAAAATCCGTATAACTTAACTTATCGTCATGTGTTAGGCAGGGATATCGATTTCTAGGAAGCTTTCAACCATATCTCTTGAAGTCATGTGACGTTTTCATCGAATTTACTATTCGGCTCTTGAAGTTTGTCAGTAAGGGACGGGTTATAACTATCTATGTTTAATTGTTCATCCCTGACAAAACAGGGAATACACTAAAACATCGTGAGTTATTTTGGGAATAGCAATTAAAAATTGTAAGGCAAAAATCATAAGCAATACATGAGCATTGAGCTTTAAGTAAAATGTGTAATATATCATGGCCCTGTCTTTTGTTATTTGCATGCTTTTTTACACAAGACCTGTTGCACGAATCAATATGGATATGGATATACTTACGAATACGCCTGGATTCATTTTCAGCATCCCTCACACCCGTTTTGATTACCTGCCTTCCGGTTTTATTTCCGGTATCCCGTATATTTCATTTCCGGTGTGGATGGACGCCATTTCCGGTTGCCGGGGGGCGTTGTCTGGCGCCTGGAGCTCGGTTCTACCGCCGGCACCTTGACATCGATCCTGTGACCGGAGCAGAGCCGAACTGCTGCAGCGGTGGTCGCCAAAGGAGGAGACCGGCTGTTGGCCTATAGGTCAGGGTGGGATCGGCTCTGTTCATCGCTTATCCTTAGCTTCAGTTATATCATTCTAAGAGAGGAAAGGGAATTAGAGAGAGAAAGAGAGAGAGAGAGAGAGAGAGAGAGAGAGAGAGAGAGAGAGAGAGAGAGAGAGAGAGAGAGAGAGAGAGGAGGGAGAGAGGAGGGAGAGAGGAGGGAGAGAGAGTGGAGATGCATGGGAAGGAAGGGAAATGATGAAAAGGATGAAGTGATAGATGAAGGCAAATGAGAAAGGAAGGGAATGAGGATAAATTAAACGAGATAAAATAAAAAATGAAAGAAATGTATGCGATAAGAAGGATGAGTTTAACTGAATTTCCTGGGCTATTGAATTATCAATAAATTTGGCTGATACCACAGCCTAGCAATAGTTAATCTAAGCAATTAATTTTAGAATTATTGAAATTTACTTGGATCGTGTTTCTCTTCCCCTGTCAAATAAGTTTGATGCATTCCATCTTATTTCAACATATTTCGTCGTCAGTATTTATGGATGAGAGCTACTTCTCTGTTGCACAATAAATCCTCGCTATGCAAATCAACTGCATCTAAGGCTGAGCATAATTCATATTTCTCGCTTAATTACAGTGTACTTTTTCGAGCCGCATTTTAGCTACAGTCATGTCCGTGAAGATAAATCTCAGCGATGGCTCGGGACGGCTAGGGTCGTCCAACTTTGAGACAATAGATCTACTGTATCGTATAACACGGATACTTTAATGGCTTCCTAAGTCAATGTTCCAAATACACAGGCCAGAACCAACACAAGTTTTGAAGGAGGAAGGCAATCAAATAAAGTTTTTGATGGAATTTAATTTTACAATGATGAAAACCATGGTTAAAAAATCGTTGGCTCAAAAGTATAAGTACACAAATTGTGCACCAGTTTAGCTCAGGCTCACTTAAAGCATATGTTCAAATTTCAAAAGCTCGCTAAACAACTATTGACCTCATTATGGCCAAAAACCTTTTGAAATTTGAACATATGCTTTACCACCCTGGGCTTTACCAGCTTCTTTGCTCCTGGCTCCACTTTGTCACTTACCTGGTAAAATTACACGTGACGAGCGTGTTATTTTTCCTCCACTTTGCACCCCTATCACCTTGTCCTTTTTTCCACCAACGCATCACATTTCACATCACTCCGTTTTCCACACCCGTTCCAAGCAGCCCCCTCCCAGTTTGCGCCCCGTTCCACCTCCGTTCCGCGACTCGTTCCGTTCCCGTTCCGTTCCCGTTCCGTGCCCGTTCCGGCCCCGTTCGCCTCCCGTGCTCCAACTGACAGTGCAGGGACGGCGGAGCAGCCACGCACATATTGATTGAAACCCGGAAGCAGCGAGGATCCGGGCCGAGCCTTTGAAGTCGCCGACGCCCGGGCTGCGCACACTCGGGCTGCAGAGGTGCCTTGGAAACAGTGACAACGTCACCATGGTAACAGTAGCAAACAGCGCCATGGAAACACTGTGAATTGATTCCATGGATACTGTTAGAATGAAAAATAAAATGACAGAAACCTCATTGGAGAAACCAGAAAAACCAAGACGGAAGGAAGTATGCTGCCTTACGTGTTTTTATAGTAAGACAACATATATCTGCAGAGGTGGATCCAAGAAGGAGATTTTAGACGCTGCGGCTAGCACATTAACAAATCACTCGGTTTCCGATTGAGTACCTATTTCATTTTCTACTGTGATGCATGTTAATAAAAAGTTTTGATCGTCAAAGCTTTTAGTAGTTTTTTTTTCTAGAAAAATATAGTAAAATATCATCGATTTAGGGTGCCACGGGGGCAGGTAGCATTTGCCTCAAATGCCTCCCTTAGATCTGCCGGCGTATACCAACATATTTCTTAGGGCCTGTTCCAGCGCCTCCAGAAGAAATTCTTGACTGGAGGCTCTACCAGAGGTTTTACTGGAGGCGCTGGAACGCAATCTGGAGATTTCTGGAGATTGGCGTCATAGATACCAAAAGAATGACGATTGTTCTCTCTTGAAACGCAAAATTTGTTTTCAATTTTAGTTAAAAAGATAAATAAAATTATAGCAATGTAATTTTCTTTACATTCAAGTTGTAAAATAATCAGCCAAATGTCCTTTGTTTACATTCGTGATTGTCACATGTGCACCATAATTGTAGACCAGAGCCTCCAGAGAAATTTGGACCTCTCAACTCTCTGGAGGCTACTGGAGGTTTCTGGAGCTTTGGCGAGAGCTTTCTGGAGCTTTCTGGAGGCGCTGGAACGCTCTCTGGAGGATTCTAGAGCTTTCTGGAGCTTTCTGGAGGTTTCTGGAGGCGCTGGAACAGGCTCATAGATTAGAGTGTATATAATCTTAGATATCCTGCATAATAGCAGGTAGCAACCGTAGGTTTTCGCCTGTGTGTTGATATGTTTGTAAACAAATGAAGAAAATTAGTGATGCAGTTCATATCTATGCTGAGCAAATTGACACCGTTAAAACCTCATTCCTGGCAATGCTCACTTAAATTCATACGTTCAAAGCTCTTGCTCTACGGTCAGCACATCAGAAACTTATCGAAGCTTCTGGGAAGAAATCCCAATACGGAGACGCCTGTTCTGTTTTTAACTTGGAGCGATACTGCCAGCCCTCACTCCTTCATCGAATGTGAATATTAGGTTCGAGCACCCAAAGACGCCAAGAGAAATGTGGCATGTGGAAGTCACAGGAAACCACAACAATATGAAATGGAGGCTCCATCGACTCTCTGTCTATATTGGCTGGTCAGTCAATATGCGCTGCAACTGACTTCCTAGAATTTGACATTAATGGATTCTCTTCGCCAAAGCTGTTACATTTATTTTTACATCTCAATCGCTTTGTGCAACTATCGCACTACAAACCGTGAAACGAAAATAATAATTCATAGTCGCAAAGGCATTGTAAATAGTTTTGTGGCCACCTACTTATTTTACATGCATTTGTGTTGAGCTATACTTTTTTCCAAGGCCGTATCCAAGGCCGCTTTTTTCATCCTGTGTGCTATGAACTGCTCACCGTCAAAACGGGTAGGGGAGAGTGGGGAAAGATGCCCAGGGTTTTACTATGTCATATATTATTCGAAAATGACGATCGGAAAGCAAAAACTTGGAGTTTCAACGGAAGCCGACATCATTTTTCTCCAAAAATATCACAATTTCGTGCCTGAAATATGATAACTTTTTTTGCTATTAGGCATTTTCCTGAATAAGTGAAAGGGGGCATCTTACCCCACAGGGTGGGAAAGACGCCCCCTGGCGTTGGGAAAGATGCCCTCTACACTATAAATGACATAAATGGGCACGTGAATCGCCTGAACGAATCAGATAGTCCCTTCGAGCCTGCAGTAGACACCAAACGTCATCGTAAGGTCCCTCAAAAGTAGTCGTAAGGGGCTTCAGAGGTCATCGTTTTGGCCATCATAGTCCAGCGCGGCCAAACAAGCCTCCGTGGTGGCGTTCGGAGACCACTGTGGGGCCCTTGTAGGTCTTCATGATGCTTGAGGGCCTTCGAGCCCATCGTGGGGACCTCAGATGCCAGCGCGGCCGCCCGTGGAGCCAACGTGGGAGCCCTCAAAGGATGTCGTGAGGGGCCCTGGAGCCAATAATGGGGCCCACAGAGGCCGTCGTGAGGGCTCTCAGAGTCAGATGCCGCCCAAAAAGTCGCTGTGTGGGCCGAGAGACCGGCATGGGGAGCACCCGACCGTACTGGACTCTCAATAGTCCCAGATCGGCTTTTGTCTCTCATCACAAGTATGTAATAAATGATTTGACGGGCTGCTTGAAGGACAGCCTACGGATTTAGGGGGGCGTCTTTCCCCATCAGGACAGGGGGCATCTTACCCCAAGGTACTGAAGTTACATTAAATCAGTACAATTTGTTAGCCATAAAACTACACCCTGAAACAAATTGTCTGGGACACAGTACACGCATGTTAATGTATCACGACTATAGCAAGGGACGCAAAAATTATCTACCTTCTTTGATATTTGCAATGTGTTGACACGAATATATTTTTTGAAAGCAGCAAATAAAAAACATGCAATCACCAGCCAGCCGTTGCCCAACTGAGCTTCGCAACTTTTTGTGCAGTTAACAAGGCAGGCTTCCGCTTTACGCTAAGAACGTTAATTTCCAGGTTCGATGCTTTGTTTCGCCGCTAGAGGGGGTGGGGCGTCTTTCCCACCCTGGGCATCTTACCCCACTCTCCCCTACTATTTATATTGAGACGGAAACCCTGTGACCTTCGCTGCTCCCAGGTGGCGCCAATGTCAACAGTGACAGGACATCTTAATCAGGCGGCTAACGCAGGCGAGGGACATGTTTCATCCACGCCTCGAAGGCGTAACAAGCGCTCAGATTGACTAAATTAGGCTCGCACTGACAAGAAGGGGAGCTGGAAACAGACTGCAGGAGGGAAACCGATCGATCCATGCATACTTTGCATACTATACGTTTTTTTATAAACCTTTGTTGCAACGCAATGACGGATGTCATACCATATAGAGTAATGGAAGGTGTTGTTGCATATATATTACATTATGACATAAATTACGTAGTGTTATTCATTACACTATTGTTATACTTTGACGGCAGACATCGCGCTTCTATTGTCTGCATTAAAACAGTCTTCATAATAATGCTTACTACTTAGCATTACAGGCACCATCAACAAATTAGTTCGGGTTTGTTTTGTTGACCATACGAATGACACCAAAGTTGAGTAATATGCAACATCAATATATGACGTATTTCTGCTCTATCTATTAGCACGGGTCTCGGTTTTTATGTCGGCACCGGTTTGTAGAGTAACCGTGCAGCTCGCTTCCTGGTTTAACCGGTTGAAAGCTCGCTAAAAGTCGGGTGGTGCTGGCTTGGCGACAGCCATGACCCCAATATTGGCAGTATGTAGTGAATTTCTCCGAACCACTTTGCAGACAACACACACAGTTTTTTTGCGATACTTTCTGGTGATGTCTAGCCGACGAGACCCTGCCTATACTCTGTTCCGTTTCAAGTTTGCAGCCGAAGTGCCCTGCTGAAAGCGGTGCGTGATTTCTGTATATACAGTTCTTACCAGGGTATATAGAACAACGGGTACACCAACGACGCGGAAAGCGCCCATTTTACCTGGATAAGTTACATGGTAGGCGATATATTTTTTGAATATGGAAAAAATAGAGTATTCTATTCTGACGAGTAAAGTCAAATTCATAAAGCAGTTATTTTTAAATTGTATGTACCAGAAATAACATACTGACCATAGTTTAAAACTTAGTCTAAACTTGAGAGCAAATGAAATGGATGGCTGTGATGAGCATCGTTATATATACTATGTAATACGAGAAGTAGTAGCCTTTGCTCATATTAATGTTCAAATAATTCACAAAATGTAATATCCAATTTTTAATATATCCAATTTTGTGAATTATTTGAACATTAATATGAGCAAAGGCTACTACTTCTCGTATTACTTAGTCTAAACTTAGTTGAAAAGCGTATAGTTGATACTAAGATGGAAGGAATTAATGGAAGGCGGAAATGGCGCAGCTGTTTCATTCTTAAAATGTGTTCGCAAGCAGGATTTACGTGATACTAGCGACATCTATATAATTGGGAACGCTGATTGGCTGACCGAGTCCGTGAGCAGTATCACTAATGTACGCCAGTACAGGGTAGAGGTAATGTGCGCATGTGCAGGAACTTGTGCTCTTATGGAGGGACTTTTGGTACCTCGGGCAGCGCCCAATGCTTTTTGGACCTGTTATGGCCTCCGCATCGAAAAACGCTAGATAAAATGGTTGTAGAGGAAGCTTGAGGCTACCTTTCCCCACAATAATATTGGCACTTTATCTTTTAGCTTACGTGTGAGGCTCGCTTGAAAAAGGTCGATTTAACATGGAAACCCTATGGGGTAGTAGTTTTTGAGCGCCCATTTGGCCTAATGCTACCAACTGTTACTGGCTACCCCTGGTTCTTACATTTTAACCCGCGACCTGGTGGGGGGGGGGCTATTTTTTGCCCCCCCTCCAGACTTTTCGATATATCTCCAGAGCCACTGCGCCGATCGTCACCAAACTTTCAGTACCCTCCCGGACATCAATTTTACACATTGTGACCAAAAATTTTCCCAAAGGCTATGATAGGTTGGCCGGAAATGACGTCAGAGTGACGTCATGTTCTGCCGTTTTCGACCCAAAAAAGGGTTTCGCGGGAAGAGCTGTCAGGCCTATA